ATTGAACTCAGGTGCTTGCACTTACCAGGCAAGTGCTTATTCCACTGAGCCATCTCCCTGGCCCCCAAGTTGTTCTTATTCTTGTCACTCCATTTGCCCTGCCCATCAGCCTATAAAAGCTCATTCAGGTTGGGTTCCAATTCTTTTGAAGATAAACTTTGTGGCCTTCAGTGGCTTCCTTCTTTTTGGTATGACAAGTATCACTGTAGTAGACTTCCTGTTCCAACCTGGAATCAGACATTTTCAACAGGAACTCTGGTTCTTTTCAGTGCAAAAAATTTTGCGAATCACAATTCAATATTAAGAATGTTCTTTTGTACTAAGATGGTAAGTTTTAGAAAGGATTTTCAGTGGAAAAAAAAGCAAATATATACTTAGTTGGCAGGGGAGATACCATGACCGTGAGGTTAGTTTTCCCAGGGAGAAGCATATGCATTGTACTCTGAGTGTGCTGAGCCCTGTGATTTTCCCAAATGTGGGAAACTTGACTGCATAATTTGTAATAGTGAGAGGATGTTTGCACTCTCCCCTGAAAAAAAAAATGTGGGTTTCAGGACAGGAATATAGCTCCATGGCATAAGTACCTGTCTGGCAACTGCAAGGTCCTGAGTTCAATTCCTAGTATCAAAAAGAAAAAAAGAAAATATGTTTTTAAATAATGATGTGTTCAATTTAAATTTTAAATGTTTTCTAGGTTGTAAAGTTAAAATTAAGAAAAAAGACATATTAAATTGATTTCAAAGTCCTTATGTGTTAAACTATTTTCTTTGTATTGATTTTATGTCTTTTTTCCACACATACATAGATATTGTAAAAAATTTGACATCTGCTCATATGAATAATTTCACTTCTTTTCCTGGATGACCAGAGTATTTTTTCCCCTTTCTTCTTGAAGGCCTAGTGTTTTAATACATCATGTCTTACTCATTTTTCTCATCACTGAGAGAAAATGCTTCATGCCTAAAGTAAGGGAGGGAGGATATTTTTAGCTCACTGTTTGCAGAGGTTTCAGTCCTTAATCTGCAGGCTCCAAAACAGTGTGACACATGGCAGAGGGGAGTCATTCATGGCTGTGGCTGACAGGAAAAGCAGTAAGTATCTTTCTGCCCTTTTTATATTCTATCTTGGCTGTTGGGATTAGGGTGGTACCAAACCAACCAGTGAACTAATCACATGTCCTTGATCCAAGCACCACACACCCTATTTTCAGCCAACTCTGAAAAACCTGCCCCAACCATGTCTGCATAAACCTTTAGGGGGACATCTAAACACAAACCATAACACGTGTCTTGATTTGGGCCATTCTGGGCTGTCTTCTAAGACATATGGTGGTTCTTTAAAATGTAATTTTAGGTCATCTTGTAGTTTATTTATTTATTTTAATTTTTTAATTTTAGGGAAGGGTCTACAGGATGTTCAAGGTCTCATTCTAGATTGGACTCATAGTGATCTGCCTGTTCACAGCCTCCCAAGAGCTGGGATTACAGGCACGCACCATCACGCCCAGTCTCAATTCTTATCTCAGCATGCCCCGGGGGCAAGACTTGCATGTCAGGCCTGGGGATCAAATCCTCATCTCTTGTGCCTGCTTGCAGGTGCTTTAATATGCTGAGCTATTTGGCCAACCCTCATATTGTAGTTTAGAAAGCTCTTCTTGAATTGTAATTTTAGTACAAGTTTTAATCCTTGAGGACTATTCTTATGTATGTCAGTCTTTCTTAAAACACAAGTTAAATCTAAATATATTCATTTCTTTCAGTTCTTATTTATTTGTTTCTTTATACTTTGTAAATTAAAAAATTTACCTCCATTTCCATCTTCTAGCTCTTTTTGGGCATTGTGACATCATTAGAGCTTAGATTCTTTCTAGCCTTCATCATTTCTTAAATGGTTTTTCTAAAAAATATTTTTTATTAATTTTTCCACCTAGCAATATAATTTTATTTTCTAAAATCTGTTTTTTTTTTTTTTTGGTGAATCTTTGTAATTCAGATTTGCACTGTTAGATTTGCTGAATGGCTTGTGTTAAAGCATTTGGCTCCAGTTTTTTCTGTAGGGCTTCTCTTTCTGCCAGTGTTTGCCCTGTGTGTAAAGATATTGTCTGGCTCTCTTCTCCCTTCTAGTAAATATACATGGCTTTTGTTTGAACTTCTTTCCTTTTATTTTTTATGTAAGGCAAGCACTCATTTACTTATGGAAAGAGAGGTTAACTTTTTTCTTCGTACTTCACTCTGTACTTTGTGTCTCTAGAAATCTTTTCATCTTATTCACAATGATGGAAAAATGTAGCCTCATCTTTTCTGAGATTTGTGTTCATTACTTTTCCTTCCTGACTTTCATGTGCACCTTCACTATCTTTTGGTTCTGTTGCCCATATTCTGCATAATTTGGATGTTACTCCAGCTATTTCTCTGCAATAGAAGGTGTTGACCTGGAGTGGAGCTTTAGTTTGCTGGTTTTGTGAGTTTTAATGTCTGAGGGGCCCAGTACTACCAGACTGGTAGTGTGGGTTTGCTTAAAACTAGGCATGGGTCCTGGAGTTCTCTTTTTTGGTACCAACTACTATTCTTAGGTTGTCTGCTGAGATTGATAGCAGCCATAGCTTACTGTTATTATTGTTATTGTTGTTATTATTATTGTTATTATTATTATTATTAATATTAATATTTATTTGGATCCTCCTCTTCCAGCCTCCCCAGCACTGGGATTGCAGGTGTGCGCCACCATGCTGGTCTCAGTGACCAGCTCAGTGCGCCCAGGGGGCAGGACCAGGATAGTATGTAATGCTGGGGATCAAACCCTGTTCCCTGTGCTTGCCTAAGCAGGTGCTTAGTCCATTGAATTATATCACTGACCCTGGAAGCCATAGATTTTGGATGCTGGTGCTGTTCCCACTGCTGCCTTGGACAGCGATGCAATGCAATCTCGGAACTGTTCAGTCTGGCTCTGCACACTTGAGGGTTCGTGAGATGACCTGTCTCTTTTATCCATCTTTGGTTTTCTCAATTTTCTCATTGGGAGATCACAAATCAAATTTACCCCCAGTACTGTATTTCTCATCAAGTTTAAACTTCTATTGACCAACTCTTCCTTTTTTATTTTTATTTTTGTACTGGGGATCAAACTTGGGACCTCGCACTTGCCACGCAGGTGCTTATGCTGCTGAACCATCTCCCCAGCCCAACTCTTGTTTTCTATATTTTAAATGTCTGCCTTTAATAATTATTTTCTCCTTATTTTTGGAAGTTTATCTGTATTCTTCCTTGAAAAGCTTAATTGAGAACCAGGATAGTTTCACTCATTCTCAGTTTCTACTAAATGCTTTTAGGATTATTTTCTCCCTCTGAGCACTACTTTGGCCATATCCCTTAGATTCTGGTATCCAGTAGCCCTACTTTGTTTGAAGTGTTTGTTTTTACATTTATTTTGCTATGATCAAAAAACATTGCTTATATTTTAGCTGATTTCTGTAATCTGTTGCACTTTCCCATATGGCCTAATATATAATCAGTTTTTGAGGATGTTTTATGGATGTTGAAAAACAGTACCTTCTTTGTAAGTTAAATACAAAGGTCACTGTAATGTTTTAGATCCAGCTTGTTTATTGTATAATTTAAATTTTTTAGTTTTTTGTCTTTCTGGAATTACAGCTTTCTGAGAGAAGAGTATTAAAATAATCCATCATGACCATGGCTATAGTTTTGTCAATTTCTCCTGTATTAGTCTATCAATTTTGTTTGTACATTTAAAAATATGAATGAGTTTATGGATGTTACATTTTCTAAGCAAAAGTTGATTTTAAATAATATGAAATATACCTTATTTCTTTTATTGATTTTTGGTTTACACTTTTAAAAATATTTTATTGATTGCTGTCTCATTTGTCATCTTTTTTCCCCTTTTTTATTTACTAAATTTTCTTCCTAAAATAATCTGGCTAAGTTTTTCTACTTATATACAGTATTTTTGAGTTAGAAGTGTTTGATGAAAAACACATAGCTAGAATTTAAAATAAGTTTTTGTCTTTCAATAGAAAAACTTAACTTTCTTATTTGTATTTTATTTATATATTTGGCCCTGTTTGGCTTCTTTTACTTCATATTTTCTCTTTTTTTTCTTTTAGTGGCTGTAGCTTAGTTTTCTTGTGCTTGCCATGTTCTGTTGCTTTTTGTCTCTCCTTTATTAGTTTGAAATTTACACATTTTACTTCTTTTTCTAGTTATATTATATCTGATCCTGTAATGATTTTCATCTAGGATATATTGACCAAGTATTATTTCATAACATTTCTGAGTATATATTTTATAAGCCCTTAAAAGTCTGAAAACTGTAATTTGTTTCATGTGTGATGAATAGTTTGTTGGAGTCACTCATGGTTCTTAGTCATTTCTCTTATGAGATTATTTTTTGAAATAAATCCCCAAATGTGTTTTCATTTGCATTATTTGTACATGATTGTAATACATAATATTTATATTCCTGTGTTGAGTTGATAACTATATGTAGTAACCCAACTCAATTCTTTCTTTCATTCCTTTTCACTTCCCTCTCCTCTCTCTACTTTTTGATCCTCTTCACTTTTGAGAAAATCTGTTTCTCTACCTTCTATTATTTATCCATTTGTGTTATTGATCTTACTGTTTATATTTAAAATTTCACATTTAAGATAAACCATGTGATCCTTCAGCTTGAAAGTGTGATTTATTGCCCTGAACATTATGATCTCAAGGTGAGGCTGTTTCTCTACAAATGACTCAAATTTACCCTTCTTTGTGGCAGGGTGGTACCCCATTGTGTGTAAATACCACATTTCCTCTATCCATCTTTATTCATGCTGTTGATTGACAAATAGGCTGCTTCCATGATTTAACTATTATGATTTGTGCTCCTATAAACACGGATATGCATTGTGAACGTGGTATGATGGCTCTCTTTCCAGAAGATTCCCAGAAGAGGCATTTCTGGGTCAAATAGAATTTCTAGTTTTAGTTTTTTGAGGAATCTCCTTTCTGATTTCCATCATAGTATGCTAGTTCACATTCTCACTGACAATGTAGAAGGGTTCCTTTCACCCAGAAGCCTTGGTAGCCTGTGGGTGTTGTCCAGGATTAGGTCAGTTGGTTAGGCTAGTTTGCACTTCTGCTGCTTCTTGTCAATGTTAAGCAAAATGGAGTACTGGCTTGGAGATGGTGAGTGGTATCGCCTGTGCCAGGGATGCCAGGTAGCCAGCGGGAGCCAGTTTGGTTGCTTTCCTATGAGTTTTGAAAACATCATTCCAATTTCATCTCAAATTGCAAGTGAAGAGACAGTATAAATCTGGAGATTTTAAAATTTTATTTCTTCTTAAAAGATTTTGTATTTTTGATTCATTCATTATAATGTTAAATTCAGTGATGATATATTTAGGATATGTGTGTGTTTTATTAGTTCTGTTTAAAACTAGATTAATCTGAACACATACTCTCTCTTAAATACAGAGACTCCTTAGAATAATGTCTTCCTTCATTCTTTTTAATTCTTCCATTTAT